TTAATTCTATCGAATAAAATTAGACTCATTTCATATATTTATTCATTAATTAGTTTAAATCTTATATTAAAACTTTTGTTTTAAAAAAAGATTATAGTGTTTTAATTTTTTTTTTTTTTAACAGATATCCGTGAAGATCCGGATATCCGTAAATATCCAGAAAAAAATTCGGATATCCGTAATCTCGGATATCCGAAATTTTTCGAAACAAAACAAATCGAAAAATTAGATATCCGTCATAAATAAATCGAATCTCAAATACTGCATTTTTTCGGATATCCGATCCGTATCCAAGCCTATATCCTAGTATAATATACATGTAAAAGACCTAGTACTTGTGTAATTATTTACCAAGTACATCTACATTTAACCTCGTTTAATAGTGTTTTTATTCATCACCAAACAACCATTTAAGAAAAATAAAAATGTTAACACTCGGAACTCTTCCTGACTTGCGCAAGCACTTGAACAAAAACAATTTAAAAAAAATGAAAATAGGAAACTAGACAATGATGATGTGGCAAGTGGTAACCAAAACCCCTAAAGCCAAACCCTCCCGACCTAACATAAATTAGTTTGACCTAATCGCTTTCACTACCGCAGCAGGAGCAATGAGGAATTCCTACAACGGCGGCGCTATGGGCGGACGTGCTGCCGGAACCGGTGGCGGCGGAGGAGCTCCAGTTGACAAAGAAGTTGATTTCGCTCAGTACTTCTGCACTTACTCCTTCCTCTACCACCAGAAAGACATGCTCTCCGATCGTGTCCGTATGGACGCCTACTTCAACGCCGTCTTCGAGAACAAACATCACTTTTCCGGCAAGGTAAAACGGAGAATCTTGGATCTGGACCACTTTCTTTCTTTTATGTCCTTATTGGTCTCTCTGTATTAATTCTGTTTTTTTTTTTTGGTTATGCTATGAAGACGGTCTTGGACGTGGGAACAGGGAGTGGAATTCTTGCGATTTGGTCAGCTCAAGCCGGTGCGAGGAAAGTTTATGCTGTTGAAGCTACTTCAATGGCTGATCATGCTCGTGCTCTTGTCAAAGCCAATAATCTTGAACATATTGTTGAAGTCATACAAGGCTCTGTTGAAGATATCTCATTGCCAGAGAAAGGTAATGTTCATTGCAAACGATTATGCTTATGAGAATACTTAATTTGAGTCCTAGAACATGTTTCTTGAAACAGAGCAATTTGGTTGATTGTACTTAGAACATGTTTCTTTTGATAATTTGTTGTGAACCCGTATGATATTACTCTGTCTCTACTCGACATTTAAGCTTATGTCTCTACTACTTTAATGTGCAGTTGATGTAATTATCTCGGAGTGGATGGGATACTTCCTTCTACGAGAGTCCATGTTTGATTCTGTGATATGGGCTCGTGACCGATGGTTAAAGCCGACCGGTGTCATGTAAGTCTTGGTTTCTGTTATTTGAAAGATTCATGATGGTTTGGTTACTTAATTAGCCTCTGGCACTTGAAAGCTTCATCTTGTGTACCTATACTGTTATAGAATGGTATCAAATCTCGGTCATGTTGCTAAAATTAAAAACAAGTAGGTAAAGATTTGGTCTTGATGTTGGTATTGTGTGTAACTAATAAGCTTTGAATCCAATAGGTACCCTAGTCATGCTCGGATGTGGTTTGCACCCATCAAATCTACTTTGGTGGATCGAAAGAAGAATGATTTCGATGGGGCAATGGCGGATTGGCATAACTTTTCGGATGAGATCAAAAGTTACTACGGGGTTGATATGGGCGTTTTAACTAAACCTTTTGCTGAAGAACAAGAAAAGTATTACATACAGGTGACCTTTTGAAATCCTTTTTGCTGCAAATTTGTTTAAGAGACTTAAGATAAGGTCCCTAGCTGCTTAATGAACGATTAACAAATTGACTCACAAACCCCTTTGCTCTGTCTTCTGATGGAAACTCGTAAAATTGGTCATTGATTTGCGCAGACGGCTATGTGGAATGACTTGAATCCACAACAAATCATAGGCACACCTACAATTGTCAAAGAGATGGATTGTTTGACAGCCACTGTCAGTGAAATCGAAGAAGTCAGATCGAATGTAACGTCAGTCATAAATGGGCAGAACACAAGGCTATGTGGTTTTGGTGGATGGTTTGATGTTCAGTTCCGGGTTAGTTCATACAGATTCTTGTGTTGCATCTTGTTGTGTTAATGTTGACAAAACTCTCATACTTTGTTGTTACTTGTTTTTTGGTTACTAGGGGAGAAAAGAAGACCCCGTGCAGCAAGAAATCGAATTGACCACAGCTCCAAGTGAACAACACTGCACACATTGGGGACAACAGGTACATTGTTTAAGTTGTTCGATCAAATATTTTTTCGATAGCAAATGCAAATTTATCCTTTTCCTTTCTGTTTTGAAAAGAATTTTGGTTAAAATCCTGATGATTGCGGGTTCATTTGAAAGGAAAAAATCGAACTGAAAGACCTGATATGAGAATGTGGCAGGTTTTCATTATGTCCAATCCTATAACTGTTGAGGAAGGTGATAATCTGAATCTTGGTTTGGTAATGAGCCGGTCGAAGGAAAATCACAGACTAATGGAGGTCGAGCTTAATTGTGAAATAAAAGAGGCTTCTGGCAACCCAAAGGAAACTTTCAAGAAGACGTATTTCATAGAATGATTATACAGAAACTGGTGTGATGAGCTCTCTTCATGGGGGCTTGTTGGTTATTGTATCCAAATGCATTAACCCAAATGTAATGTTATATTTGTTTCCGACTTTTTTTCTTTCTGTAACGAGCAATTGACATTGGTAACTGAAAACAATTTTTGATAGATTTTATTTTATATGGGTCTTTAGTGAAACTTGCTAGATTATTGTTGCTTTGTTAGGCCAGCTTTGATTCAGTCCAACTTTTGTGTTTGCAGGGTATATATATATATGCATTCATGTTTCATAAAGGACAAATATGACTCAAACCAAACTGAATTCATGTCATCATTTTGTTATATTTACTATCAGTCGAACATAAAAGGATTGTGGCTTGTGCGCCAAAAGGGTAGCTTATTGTGTTCGTTCATATACTTTATTTTTTACTGCTGTTTTTTTTAATCAAAAACAGTACCACCATCTCTAGTTTTGTAATTGACAAAAGCAGAATCTTCATATACTTTTGGACCAACTATCTCTTGCCAAAATTGGTAATTAACCACTATTTTTACCGTTTTAACTATGCCACTATATTATACCATCATAGAATTTTCAACTTGATGTCACCAATCGTTAAAGAAAATGAATATAAGTGAGTGAGTCACACAACAGAAATGCAAAACATATGACTCAAAGGATGACGATTCCATGACAAATGTAGATGACTACTCGTAACAACTCACTCAAGGTAAAACATTCCTCGAGCACTGCAGCAGCTTACTGTGTGGTTTATTGGAACGCTTGCCTTCTCTTCATATGGAAGTCACCTTTAGAAAAACCCGTAAAACATTTTCGTAAAAGCATAGTCTTCCAAATCCAGTTTAATTCAGGATTCTACATCTCCAAATAGTTTTTTTGGTTAACTTAAGAAAAAGAAAAAAAATATTGATAATAAAATCTTGGCTTGACATGGACTGAATAAAAAAGAAAAGACGAGAATAGTCCGAGAAAGAAAAAATCGTCAGCCATATATATTTTTATTCTTTATATAATAAGATATATAAAAAAAAACAGGAAAATGCTAAAGAACGAAACGCGGCTTATCGGCTGGATTCACGGTCTCGACGTGATTGACGGTCTCGACTTGACCAACGT